GATTTTCTGGTAATACTTGGCTCCCGACTGTCAGGATAGCTTTTTGTGGGGTGACTCACATAGGCTCTCCTGGTGCCTGTGCTCCCCCTTAGGGTCTGAGCCCCACTAGGACCCTCACCCTCACCTCTGGTCCACCCACAACAGACTCACCTTCCTGCTCACCAATTGCTTGGCACCCCATCCACAAGTGGCAATTTGTTCAATTCCCCCTTCTGTTGGTCATGTAAATGCTTCCCTGAGCCTGAGGAGGTGACCATTGAGTATCTGGCAGCCCTTTGGTACTCTTGGAACTGTGGTACCCCGCAGCCTTGGTCTTTAAGGCTATTTTGGGTCTCTTCACCTGACCCTGTCCCCTCTACCCTTGCAGCTGTAATCCTGCAGTTTCCTGTGCCCCTTCCTGCCCTCTTCTCCTGCCTTCCCTTCAGAGCTGCCCGTCATGATCCTATAACTCCTCTAGACCCTCATAGCTAGACATTTCCTTTCTATTTCCCAATCTTTTGTGTGAGGTTTGTTGTGTGACTTTGTGGTATTCCTTGGTTCCACACTGCCAGGATACCTTTCCCTTAGGAGCTGCACCGTTTGTATGGGTAGATTAAATAGGATGTCTGCTGTACATATATGAAATGATCAAAGAACAAACTTAATACATGTTAAAACAACAACAAGAGAGATGACATAGGTTACTGTTTGTGGCCTTTGAAAAAGCAAACTATTGCTACTCTCTTCTTCCCTTCTCTTGGCCTATATTTTCACCCTATTCAGTTATTAGTGGTTGTTGAAGAGCTTTCTGCTTTTTCTAGGTTTAGATGCAGCCTGTGGCTGCCTTATTTACTCTTTCTCTCCCCTCTCTTTCCTTCTGGTCTGGATTTATAGATCTCCCCCTTTGAGAAGCCTTGCTCAATCTTTCCAAGCCTGGGTTCTACCAGATTACCCCATGTCACCTCAAACTATTGCCCTGAGCCCAGCTTTGAATGTTTTGAACCCTGATGGCTATCTGTAGGGGCTGTGCTGTTAGTCTAAATACTGCTATGAGATAATTTGCTTCCTCAGTTTAAAGGGTGGAAATAAGCCTGGGGGTAACTCAGTGGTAGAGCCTTTACTTAGCCAGGCACCGGGTTCTGTCTCCAGCCTCTTCCCCATGTCCACTCCCCACCAAAAAAGAAAGGCTTAGGTGGGATATCAAGAGTAGACATTAAAAATATTTAGCATTTACATGATTTCAGGATAAGTCATGCTGAATTCTCTTTTTTGGTCATGTAAATTTAAATTTAATTCATTTTCCGTGGATAGCTCCTCATAGTTTTGAAATAATGCAATGTACAGTTTAGGCACCCTGTCTCTTGGGGTTACACAGATCCTGCTGAGTCATTCTGGTCATGTGGACTTAAGTTATTGATTTATTTTCCTTGAGTGGCTCCCAGGGTTGTTGCTAATACAATGTACACACTTGAAATGCCTCTCTTTGGGGAGTGGGTTACTTAGATCATGGTGAGCCATTCTGGCTTTGCAATTACTAACTTGTTTTGCTGGTGGAGAACCTATGTTCCTGAAAAACAGTAAGGTATGACCTTGCTAGGTATGACCTAGAGTGGTTTTTTGCCTTTGTACTCAGGATCCTTTCTACGTGTTTAAGGAATTACCCCATCTGAATCCTGGGGAGGGATTTGGGCTTCGTGATATGAGAGAATAAAGGGGAACAACGCAAAAATTCTTACTGAATAACCAGAGATTGACAGTAAGGGATGACAAGTGAGGAAAACCCTTGTGTAGACATCTCCAGAAGCCTTGACCTATTTAAAGAGATGGAAGTTTTGATGCAGTTCCCGTACAGTATTTACTTTTTCTGGAAAAGTGGGCCAGGTTCATGAATTAAAAGGTAGGCAGAGAGTTGGAAAAATTTGGAGAAATGAAGAGAGACCAGGAGGCCAGGGGAAATAGAAAAGAAGAGGAGCCAGTGCTAATGAAGGGTACCAGTCACAGCCAAGATGCTTAAACACCAAGCAGGACTCTTCCTTTATTCATATGCATCCCAATTTCCCATTAGTCATGCATCAGAAGAGCTCAAGGTATTCTTTTGTTTTCAGAGGTAGGGTCTAGCTGGTTCAATTTCTGCATCCTCTTTCCTTAGCCTTGTTAATTCTGGTACTGCAAGTACACACTACCACTGTGGGCTTTCAACTTCTTAAAACATAAAACAAAACAAAAAAGGAAGGGGACAAGGGGGGAATATAATATTGTCAATCCTTGTAATCCCCGAGTTATGATCGCCTTCAAATCCCAGCCCAAGTTTCTAGCATGTCTCAGGTCTGTCAGTCAGCCAGACATCAACAGACTGGGACATATGTATTGTATTCTTTTTTTCAAAGATTTTATTTATTATGTATACAGTGTTCTGTATGCATGTACACCTGCAGGTCAGAAGAGGGCACCAGACCCCATTACAGATGGTTGTGAGCCACCATGTGTTTGCTGGGTCTTGAACTCAGGACCTCTGGAAGAGCAGACACTGCTCTTAACCTCTGAGCCATCTCTCCAGCCCCATGTATTGTATTCTTTTTTTAAAAATATTTATTTATTTATTATTTATACAATATTCTGTCTGTGTGTACGCCTGCAGGCCAGAAGAGGGCACCAGACCCCATTACAGATGGTTGTGAGCCACCAAGTGGTTGCTGGTGTATTGTATTCTTAACACTTAGGCTAGGGAGCTAAGAAAAGACAACACAGGCAGGGCACTCATACTTGTGATCCTAAAACTTGGGAGGCACAGACGGCTTTTGGGGGCTCTTCCAGAATGAAGGAATTCCAGTTACTTTCCAGCGCGATGAGAAAAGTTGTCGTGGTTGCTTAAGGATGTTGTTTCAGGACTAGAGATATAGATCAATTGACAGAGCACTCGTGTAGCATGTATGAGGTCCCGGATTCAATCCCTCCCATCTGACGTGTGCTAGGCAAGTACTACACCAGGGGTTCTCAACTTGTGGGTTGCCATCTCTTTGGAGTTGCAAATATCCTGAATATCAGATATTTACATTACGATTCATAACAGTAGCAAAATTACAGTTATGAAGTGGCAACGAAATAATTTTATGGTTGGGGTCACCGCAAAATGAGGAGCTGTATTAAAGGGTCGCAGCATCACGAATGTTAAGAATCACAGTGCACTATACACTACTGTGAGGTGGGGGCAGGAGGATCAAGCCATCCTGGGATAGTTGAGAGACTATCTCAAAAAAAAAAAAAGGACCAGTGACAAAGACAAAGACAAGTCTCAGCAGGTAATGGCACTTGCTACCAAGTATTGCAACTTGAATTTGACAACCTAAATTCAATCCCCTGCATCCATATGATAGAAAGAGGAACCCACCTCACCCATCCCCTGCAAGCTGTCTGATCTCCACGGCTCCCTCTCCTACCAAATACAAGAATATAAATAAATAAAAGGATGTAGTTTCAATTACATACTGCACTTATGGCGGTGTTCTCAAAAGATTATAATGGAGCTGAAAAATCCCCACTACCTACTGATGTCTCAGTTATCCTAACAACTGTAGTGCAACACATTACTCCTTTTGTGGTTGATTCTGGAAGAAACGAACCATCATGCTGCCAGTCATATCAAACCATAGCACCTTCGAAAAAGCACACACACACACACACACACACACCTTCGAAAAAGCACACACACACACACACACACACACACGTGTGTGTGTGTGTGTGTGTGTATCAGATAAGGAATCTATCTATCTATCTATCTATCTATCTATCAGATAAGGTCTCACTAGGTAATCCCTGGCTAGCCTAGAATTCATTATGTAGATGAAGCTGGCCTCACACTCACAACAATCTCTTGCCTCTGTCTCTCAAGTGCTGGAATTAAAGGCGCACACCGCCACATTAGGCCTCCATCTAGGTTTGCCTAACAGTGAAATTGCCTGCCTATTGATTTCTCAGAACACATCACTGTTGTTGAGCAATGCCTGGCTGTAATTGAAAACAGGAATTACTGCTGCAGGTGTCAGTTTATTTAGATAAGTTTATTTAGATAAGTTTATTTAGATAAGATAAAACTTAAATTTATTTTCCTTGGTGGAGGTAGAGGTAGGAGAAGCCAAAAAACTATCTGCAAAGGTCAGAAATGATCAATGGGTGCCTTAATTTTAAACTGGTAGTATAACCAGTGGCTTCCACTAAGTGTTTCTGTCATCTACGACTTCCTCACAGAGACCCATAATAAATTTACAAGAGGCCTCTGCTGTAGTTCCATATTCTTAAATCAAGAAAATGTGATATTTAAGGGTCATGACCTTAAATTCTATAGCAGACTTGTAAACACACACACACACACACGCACTCACACTTCGTTCTTGCCTATTTTGCCGCGAAAGAAATCCGCTTTTTTAGTCCGCACTTTTCTCCCTGTGGTGAAGTCATGCCATTTTCTATGAGTTTTTTCATGTCTGGGAAATGTATCTGTGAAATGTGTAATTAGTATGCAATAAGCCGGGTGGAACTGTGACGCAACGACCCATTGCAAATTGCCTTATAGAAATGATGTCATTTAGTGTTGCTCTAGTCACTTTTATAACAGGTACTGTGGGCAAAGCTTCCCCTCATCCCATGGTGTGCAAGATGCGAAAAATGGAATTTTCCGGGTTTTCTAGCACTCAACTTGCGCACCCCATGTTCGCCGCAGCGCCTCAGGGCCCACCTCCCGGGCAGGCGAAGTGACACTGGTCGCTGGGAGAGGTGCACCGCCGATCCTCTATAGCCCCGATGGCGGTGCTCAGAAGAGACGTCTCATCGGTTCCAGACTGCAGCACCCCGCTACCTCTTTCCCTCGGAGCCCCTCCCAAGTTCCCGCTACTGTGACAGGCCCGCCTCAGGGACGAGGCGCGCAGTGGGACAATCCTCCCACTACCTGGCTCCCACACCCCGCTCCCGCTCCGTGGCGCCGGAAGTGACGCGCGTTGGTTCGAAGATGGCGGCATTGGCATTCGACCAGGGAGAAGGTAAACACCCGGCAGGCGGCGCGCTGGCCCCTACGGGGCACCCTCAGGGTTTCAGGAGACCTCTCTGGCCTCCTCTCGAAGCCGCGGCTTCCCGCTCCCGCCCACTCCCACGGAGAGGCCGGCTTCCACGTCCTCGACCCGGTGGTCCGGGCCCCCTACCAGCAGCCCCGCCTCCCTGGGCGGGCCCCGGGCGGCTCCTGTGGCCCCTGGCTCGTGGCCCCGCTCGCCCCGCCCCTTTCCCGCCCCTTTCCCGCTTTCCTCCACCCCCGGCGTGGGTGATCCTGAGGCTCCGCGCGCTTCGGGGCAAAAACCCGGAGACACCGTCGCCGACTTCGCTCCTGCTAGCGTTTCTGCCATTGCCTTCGACCCCCTCAGCTCTCTCCCGGTTCGTGGCCCTACGCGGTGTGCTCTTGCCGAACCCTGTTGGGGGGTTGCCGCGAGCCTCACCCCCCTCCCCTCCCCGGTAGCGGCAAGTCTGGGCCCCGGCCCCGGCCCCGACGCCAGCCGTGCGCCTCCCGCCTAGCCCAACTGTCTGGACTCGCTACTCAAGCGCTGTCTTCTTTCCTAGGACTGCTTCTGAGGGGACCTCGGGTTCGCACGCTCGCCCCGCGCCGGAGCGCCCCGGCGCGGCCAGGGAGCGGCCCCTTGTAGAGGTCTAGGGAGCCTCCCGAGGTCCGTGCCGGCGCCCGGCGTCCGACCCTCCCACCGTTCGGCCCACCGGCCCGCTTCTTCCTGATGCAGACTGCCGTCCACTAGAGGCTGGACAGGACCCCCGAGGTGCGTAGCCGCCCCTGGCCGCCGGCCTGCGGAGCCCGAGCTTTGCCCGCGGCCCCGAGGAAGGCACGGGCTCCGTGGCCCTTGCTGCACCGGCGGCGCTCAAACATTTCCTAAGACGCTGGGACCCGATTTGTCTTTGAGTTTACTTAAATTGTTTGAAATGTAAATTTTTTTTTCCAGGGGAACAGAGAGAGAGGGAGAGACAGAAAGAGAGGAAAAAAAAAAGGAAGAAGCATAATTCAGCCATTTTTTGCAGCACAGAGCTGCAGGTACCATGGTTATTTTCCCCCTAACCGGTTCCTTCCCTTTAAAAATCCGAGTTGTGCCTGAAATAGAACTGTGCGGATTGTGAGGCAATAAAGCGTGGAATTGGAACGTCTGGGTGGCTGAGAAAATCCCGTGCAGAACCTCAGTTGCTTATCTGAAACGCAGTCAGTCCGAGCCACATCAGAAGGTAGTGAGGACTATATGAGGTCATGTATGTAAAAATAATCTATAGCTGCAAAGTGTCGTCGCAAATGTAAGGTCATTTCTTTTTTTTTTTTAAGTACCCTTTGCTGGAGTGGTTAATGTGGCTAACTGTTGGTGCCTCTTAATTTCTATATTATAAGTAAATAAGTACGGAATAGCAAAACAGTGCTGTGATCATTGGCTGTTTAATAGGCACGTTGGCTGGCTTGCCGCCTACAAAATGCTAGCTGCTTCTTTAAAATAACGGTATTCTTTAATTCAGATCTCATGTCACTATAGGGCTTGGCATCTTTCTAGGCCTCTCAGGCCCTTTTCTGACTCAGAATATTTCTTATGTTTTTCAGAGTTTCTCTTTGCCATCTGATTTGCCGTTGTCATTTTAAAAGTGTATATGCTCTAATTGCAATGTTTGCTTTTCATGTCTAGGGAACAGGATGACTGAATGCTTCTACCCGTTTGAAAATTGTTTTTTGAAGAGCTTACAAATGCATACATATTTCTCCAATGCTTAATAGATCTAGAAATGTGTAATGAATCTCAACATTTTAGTTTTTAATGTAATATTTGTGTAATTAAATTCTATTTTCAATCACAACACTCAGTAGGTGCCTTGAGTCACAGTTTGTCAGTGGTAAAGGATGTTAATTAATGCTCTTTACTACTGGCTAATTTGGCAGAAAAATAAGCTAGTAATATTTGTGGTTTGAAAATATTTTGCTAGAGTTTCAAAACTGTAGGATGTTTTGACTTAAAATAGTCAATAAAAAGTGAAAGGATCATTTTGGAGTATATTATTTTTAGTTGGTAATAAGTGTTTTTTAATTCCCTAGTCTAATACCAGTTGTCTTTCACAGTATGCTTCTGTGTTTTGTAAAAAGACAGAATAATGTAAGGTGGGCAGGATTAATTTGGAAAAGGAGCAGCCAACTTTAAAGTGGCTGCTTTTATATTTTGGATTTATCCCTTGTCCTAAAGATAATTTTGACTGATCACGACGTTACCAAAAATTTCAGAGTTTGATCTCTGCCTTGTTGTGGGTTATTTAGGGATGAAATTGTGGAACCAAGACTGGCTTGACTGAATTCATGTGTTTAGAAGGGGGGAGTCCCAAACTTGTTTTAATGTGTTAAATTGACATTGTGCAATATAAATGAATAGTGAAATTTGTGTTAATAATTTCAAATTGGAATTTTTCTTTACTTAGGACAACTTATATCAACAAATAAAAATACATCATGACAAGTCGAGAGATGGGAGAAAGGAAAAAGTGCTATATTTTAGTACCTTTAACTTGAATCCCCCCCCCCCCCCGATTTTGACCCCTCTCCCTATGATATTGGTGGCCCACCCTCAGGTTTGAGCTTTCAAATTGCAAATGTTTCATGACTGAATGTTAAGTTAGGACAATGAATCTTAGTCTGGGTTGGGGGCATGTTGTAGATTAATTTATTACCAGAAATTTCTTTAGAACTAGAATACCATAGCTCCTTTGGGCTTTTTTAAAAACCGAAGAACAACGAAAGCTGGTCATTGGTGAGGGCTTGCAGTAATGGTAGTTAATTAGAAAGGTGTACAACTTGGAGAACTCGGGAGGACACTAGTTATGTAATATCATAACCTTAGGCCAGTAACTTGACCTCATATTTTGGATTTTTTTTCATCTTTAAATTGAGAGTGGTTATAGAACATGGAGATTTGTGAAGTAAATTTCTTCATAGATCAAGTATTTATTAAGCATTTACTATGTGATACACACTGTTCTAGGTGCTGGGGATTCAAGTTAGTAGTAATAGTTTTAACAATTTTTTTGTTTTGGATTTTTTTCCAGACAGTTTTTCACTGTAGCCCAGGTTTGCTTTAAAGTTAGGGTAATCCTCCTGCCTCAGCCTCCCATGTACTGGCATTAAAGGCATGTGTAGCTAACTATATGTGGCACAAAACAAAATTATTTGAAGAGAAAATAAAACTATGGTGGCCCATTTCTGTAGTTTTAGTACTAGGAGGGGGAGGCAAGAGGATCAGTTGAGAGTCTTCTTCAGTAGAAGCAGCCTGGAATATGAGACCCTATCTTAAAATTTTTTACTTCAGCATTAAATATATATTAGGAAAAAAATAAAGCAGAGATGAAGATGTGGATTCTTTGGTTGATGGAATAGAGGGGTTTTGTTTTGTTTTGTTTTTTATTTTTTTGTTTTTCGAGACAGGGTTTCTCTGTGGCTTTGGAGCCTGTCCTGGAACTAGCTCTTGTAGACCAGGCTGGCCTCGAAGTCACAGAGATCCGCCTGCCTCTGCCTCCCGAGTGCTGGGATTAAAGGCGCGCGCCACCACCGCCTGGCCCGGGCCCTATATTTATTTATGTTTTAACCACTGAGCCATCTCTCCAGCCCCCATTTATTTATGTTTTGTTTGTTTGCTTTTTTTAGGATAGGGTCTCTGTGCTGTAATCTTGGCTGTAGACCAGGCTGGCCTTGAACCCACAGAGATCCTCCTGCCTCTGCCTCCTGAGTGCTGAAAAAAGGTACCACCAAGCCCACTGGTTCTGTTATTTTAAGAGGGATTTGGGACAAGGTCTCATTGAGACTGATCTAAAGGGAGTCATAGATACCTGGATAGAGTAATCCTAGGCAAAAAGGAACAAGTGAGGTGAGGCTAATTTTCTAGGAACAGCAGCAACAAAAGGAAGAGTAGAAGGAGCTTATTGTTGCCATTTTAGGAACCAATAAAAAGGCTCCCATAGGTCATTTTCCTTAGGTATACCTTGTATTGCTGTTGGCTCAAAAGTAGATGACCATGGGGCTAGAAAGATGGCTCAGTGATTAAGAGCACTAGTTGCTCTTCTAGAGGATTAGGGTTCAATTCCCAGCATCCACATGTTGGCTCACAACTAAATGTAATTCCAGTTCCAGGTCACCCTAGACTCTTCTGGCTTCCATGGCCACTAGGCACTCTCATGGTACACAGACATATATGCAGCCAAAACACCCATACCACAAAATGAAAAAAAATTTAGATGACAAGGGGGCCAGGAATGGTTCCCCGGATCTTTAATTCAAGCATGAAGAAGGCAAAGGCAGGTAGATTTCTGAGTTCAAATCTCTCCAGGGCTACAAAGTGAAGCCCTGTCTCCAAATAAACAACCTTCTCCCAGTAAAAAAATAAGTAGATGACCTTTTGTTTTTGTTTTGCTTTGTTTTTCTGAGATAGGGTCTCTACATAGCCCTAGCTGTCCTGGAACTCACTATGTAGACTAGGCTAGCCTCGAACTTACAGAGATCTGTTTGCCTCTGCCTGTAAGTACTGGGATTAAAGTGTGTACCAACACATGTGGCAGTAGATAACCTTTCAAGTTAGAATTTTTAAAAATTATTTTTTTGTCTGTGTCTTTGTGTATGTAGGAGTGTACATATGAAGGTCAGAGGACGATGCAGGAGTTGGTTCTCATCTTCCACCATTTAGTTCCCAAGAATTGATTGAATTTAGATAGTCGGTCTTGGGGGCAAGTGCCTTTACATATTGAGCCATCTCAGTAGACCAGAATTATAACTATTTTTGGAAGAGGGTGCTGAGGATTGAATTGCCCAGAGCCTCCACATGTACCAGGCAAGTGCTCTTTGACTGAATGACGTTCTCGACCCAGAACTTTTAATTTTGGAATAATAAAGAGTGAAAAAGTAAAATATATTCTATTTTTTCCTTTTTTTTTCTTTCGAGACAGGGTTTCTCTGTAGCTTTGGAGCCTGTCCTGGAACTAGCTCTTATAGACCAGGCTGGCCTTGAACTCAGAGATCCGCCTGCCTCTGCCTTCCAAGTGCTGGGATTAAAAGTGTGTGCCACCACTACCCAACTTTTTTCTTCTTTTTAATACTTGGAGGTAGAGGTTGAAGCTAGGGTTTTATGTGTTGGGCAAACACCATACCTTTAAATTATATCCTCAGCCCTTCATATTTTTTCTCTTTTTGTATATTCAAATGCACATGCCTATGAGCCACGGCAAGAATGTGAAGGTCAGAATACAACTTGTAGGAGTTGGTTCTCTCCTTCCACCACGCCTAGCCAGGGATCAAGCTCAGATCATCACACTTGGTAGCAGGCTCCTTTACTCACTGAGTCATATCACTGGCCATAAGATGTTTAAAAAATACATTTACTTATTTGCTTATTTATTTATTGTATGTGCATACATGTGCACAGGCTACACAGCATGAATGTGGAGGTTAGAGAACTACTTGTAGGAGTAGGTTCTCTATTACCTTTTCCCTGAGGTGGTACCCAGGTCATCAGGCTGCACCACCTGAGTAAGCTGCTTTCTCTCTTTAATATGAGATACCTAAAGTTCATCAGGTGGGGGGTATATCTCAGTGATAGAGCACTTACATCCCACAGTGAAGCCCTGGGCTCTTGTCTGCAAGCTGTGGGGGGGGATCTAGCTGAATCATTGAAGCAAATAAGGTTAGATAGAAAAAGTATCTTTTGTTCTTGATTACTATCTTTGAATTTAGTTAATACTGCATCATGGACTTATAGAAAAT